CCGGCGTATGGGACTAGTGCCATGCTGTCGCTGTAGCGCAACGTATCTCATTGAATTTAGTTCAGCTGCGATGCGGCGATGAGAGGCGCCGATTCAGAAAATACGTCGGTGACATCGGCGCAGTAAAACCCACCGGCGCAACCCAACTCGCTAACGCTCCCATCTCCTACTGCAGAGAGAACTTCCGGTTCCGGAAACATCGTACGTCACGGCTTGTTTTGCGGTCAAGAAAAAGTCGATATTTCATTAATTTTTAGTTTAGAAGTTAATAAACCGAGACGAAAACGGATGCCTGTTCGGCATTCAGTGAACATTGACGGTTTATTGTAAAAGTTATCTGGAAAAAGTAAAAAAGTCATTTCATGGTCCCTTTAATTACATTTTCACGCCCGAAAGAATAAAACACATCAAAAAGATTTTGCTTTGCTGGTCTGTGGATTACAGCACATTTTCAAGGAAGTTTAAAAAAGTGGCTACTGTACCCGAAGGAAGTCCAGAGAATTTCGATATGACATGTACTTCTAGGTGTTCCATTACATACAGCGCCACATTCCTTCTTTTATATTGTCGCGGCGTGATGGTTGAAATTAATTGCAGGATCCATAAAAACGCCTAGATCACGAATGACCTCAACGCGAGTAATATTGGTGGAATCTAATACATAGGGAAAACTCAGAATTTCACGCTTCCTAGAAAAGGACATAACTTTCGTCTTTGACTCATTTAAGAGTAGGTCATTTGAACCAGTTACCAGCTTGGCCAGTTTGATTTTCATGCTGGTTTTTCCAATAGATGGGATATTGATGTGCATTCATATCCCGTGAAGGGAACGATATCGTAATCGTTTATTGACGAAACTATGTGAATAATGAAACGCCGTTCGACGAACTGATTGTCGTCGCATTTAAAACTACATTGCAGCGCCTTCAGCCAACACCACCTCGAAGACAAGGCCTGCGCATGACGTCATCATCAGCGGCAAGCAGGCTGAAGCTTGACGAGAGTTTGGGCAGCGTCACAACTACGTGCGTTCACTGGCGGCCACAGCTGTGTGCACGACTGCTGAGCGCGAGCTGATAGCGAGCTTCCACAGTTCATTTGCAATGTGCACGCGACACCACCGAGATTGCCGGTCCTAGCAACCTATTAATGTGAGCTCGCTCTGAGGATGCGCTCTATTTGCGACTCCAGCAAACCGGACGGTACCTAGCGGAAAAGCACTAAACTGGCCGGGACAGGTCCTTTCGTGATTTCTGGTCGCGTCTTGCGGCTTCCGTGATTACGTGTTGTCGATGGTTTGCGCAATAGAACCGTTGTCCCGGTGCCTTTGCTGTAACTGCAGTACAAACTTTCTCAGGGTGCTTTGCACGATATCTACGCAACCGCGTGAACCAGCCATTCCGCGGTTATCGGCGCTCATCAGCACCGTGGAAGAACAGTAAAAAGACCTTTCATCGCTTTCTAAAAAAAAAGAAAAAAAGAGGAAAGCCTTTGGAACTTTGCTTATGCCAACACATCGCTGCAGGTTCGAAACGTGGAGGATAGAAAGCGGGGCAAACCATTCTGAGTGCAATGCTTGCTTGCTGATGCCCAGGCGTTGTGCGTTGGACTGGAACATGGCACGGCACGACCTGTATTAGACCGCCATATTTGCCCAATAGTGGCGTCCCCTACAGGTCGCTGGAGTCACGAATATAGTACTAGAACTTGGCCGGGTCGTCCTCTCTTAGGGCAGCTGATTCAGTTCACTTCACTTTATTACCTTAAAGACCCCCCATCGGGGGTATTACATAAGGAATGGGTACAGATGAATCAGTTCTTGGGTGCCATAAATATTCAGAGAGAGATATGAGATGCTACATTGTCCATGAAAGTTGATGGGCAGGTGACGGCAGCGATGTTGTGGGAAAGGCCGTTCCAGTCTGAGGCTGCTCGGGGAAAAAATGAGGAAAAAATGTGACAGTACGGGCGCGTGGGCGTGCCACTAACCGCTCATTCACACTGGAAGCGGATCCGCGTTCGCAAAGCGGTTGCGAACGCGGATCCGCTCCCAGTGTGAATGAGCGGTTAGAGCGGATGACCAGTGCGTTGAGAAATGCGTGCCGGCGGCATGATGTAAGGCATGCAACCAAGCGGAGAATAATAGAACTTATGAAACAAGGAAAGTGTGGTGATGCGACGACGGGTAGAGAGGCTAGGCAAGCCTGATTCTGCTTTCAAGGAGGATATGCTGACGTCATTTGAATACGAGGAATGAATGAATCTAGTAGCGCGATTTCGAACTGCTTCAAGTGCGTTTATGAGATATACTTGGTGCGGGCTCCAGATTGCGGACGCATATTCCAGCTTTGACCTGATAAGTGATTTGTAGGCGAGTAATTTCACATGTTGGGGGGCGTGACGGAGGTGACGTTTTAAAGGGACCATGAAATGATTTTAAAATCGAGTTTCATCCACCGCACGTCGTAAAAGGTGTGAAAAGAAACACAAAACCATAAAAATAGGGAGCCCAAAAAAATTATTTGCTATAGAACTTTTAAAAGAAAACTGGACTCTTTTGCGCCTTCTTTCCTTCGCCTTTTCACTACGATGCATCCGCGGAAACGGAGCACGTCAGCCGAATCCACGTCGCCTGTTGGGTAAGACCCTACCTCACCAGCACCGCGATCGTAAACAATAAATAGCCGGCGAATGTTTCCTAAAAGTTTTGTTAAATAATATTCAGATCAACATTTTGTAGCATGATTAGAGATGTGTGGCGAAAATTCCCAAATTTGATAATGCTGAGAGCCAAGCGCCATCTATCGTGTGGTAAACGAAGAAACTACTGCGCGTGCGCAGTAGGGCAGTGCCGAATTCATTTACTTGGGTAGCGGCGACCGACGAACGTTTATTTTCTTTGTTTTCCTTCCTCTCAAAACTCTGACTGACTGAACGTTTATTTTTCTACGTGTTCTTCTCGCGTGTGCCGACTTGAAGCAGCAAGAAAAAAGTACTTAAAACAGACCACGACGAACAAGAACGCTGGATCCACCGACTCCGACGAAGCGAGCTGCTAAGAATATAGGCCTAGCAGGCACTCCTACTAGGCGCAGCGTTGCTTCGTCGCAAGACCGTCTGCCTACGACCGGCTGGCGTGCTGAATGGAATATGCCCGCGCGACCCTTGTGGACCCTTCCCGTATTATAGTTTGATCGCTGACATCAATTTTAGATTAAGAGGTGAGGTCAATCTCTTCCCCTTGTTTTCCGAGGCTGTGTTGACGACCACTCGTCGAAAAGTTACTCTCGTCGATTCTATCTTCTTGTTTTGTGTGATATAGAGCTGAAATAAACGCCGTATGGATTACCTTCGTAACACGGTATGTACACTTTGTTATTGGTATGCGATTTTTCTTCCGACAAGCCTGCACGTCACTGTCGAGCTAGAACAGTTCGTGGGAAGTATACGTGCAACGCCGGTCCAACCCTTCTTTGCCGAGTGTCGCGTCAGCATCGAGTTGCAATCGTAAAAGAACGGTCCCGAAGCGCTTACCAACAGCGCGAATACAGCACTTCCATCAAACGCGCGCGTCCGCTCCGATCGTAAACAGGTATTTACGTGGCTCTCGCTGACACTCGTAGCTCAAACGTATCTTTTTTAACGCCGGCTCGCTCCTGAGGCCGCGAAAAACGCCGCGGCAATTTGTTTCCATCTACGTCGCTTTGCAAACGATTGACACGGGCCGCTTTTTGCCACCAATGACAGTTGGGTTGACTTCTGGAGTCTTCACCGGAAGACTCGCTGCACTTCCCAACAGGCATACCGGTGTATGGGACTAGTCCCATGCTGTCGCTGTAGCGCAGCATATCTCAATGAATTTCGCTCAGCTGTAATGCGGCGATGAGAGGCGCCGATTCAGAAAATATGTCGGTGACATCAGCGCAGTAAAACCTACCGGCGCACCCCAACTCGTCGCCGCTAACGCTCCCGTTCTCCTACTGCCGAGAGAACTTCCGGTTCCGGAAACGGCGTACGTCACGGCTTGTTTTGCGGTCAGTTGGAGAGAAAGAAAAAGTCGATATTTCATTAATATTTTGTGTAGAAGTTAATAAACCGCGACGAAAACGGATGCCTGTTCGGCATTCAGTGAACATTGACGGTTTAATGTAAAAGTTATCTAGAAAAAGTAAAAAGGTCATTTCATGGTCCCTTTAAGAATCCCAATGTTTTGTTTGCAGATGACATAACATTGGTAACATGCGTGCGCCAGGATAGATCGTTGCGCAGAGTGACGCCGAGGTATTTATATGACTACGATTTCTACGGGTACGTTAGCGATAGCGTAAGGGAAGAGAAGGGGATTACGGCGGCGATGAAAGGACACGAGTTTGCATTTATTAATGTTTAGCTTCATAAGCCAGTCGTCACACCATTCTTGTACGTGGTGAAGGTCATCTTGGAGAGATTGTTGATCAGAAAGGTTAGTCACAGAGCGATAGATAACACAATCGTCAGCAAACATACGGATATGACTAGACACATGAAGCGGTAAGTCATTAATGTGATTGAAACCAGTTCCATGACGATCACCTCAGGGCCTTAATTTAGAAATTTAGTTTTTAACCAATTAGGGTTTAAAGAGTTTCTTAAAACGCGAGCCTACCATGAACAATTCATAGCAGAAAGGCAGAAGCAGACATCTCGACTTCTAAAAACACTGGATCTCTAGTTGCATAAAAATGACAAAAGGCGTTCAAGAGAGCACGTTTTTGAAACTATGCTCTGGGTCATAAAGCTTTATTCAAATTCCTGTTGCGTGTATTTATTAAGCATCACAGTGCTACGCACATAAAGTATAATTTTTAAATAAAATTAGAAATGACACAATCACGTCACTGACCTAAAAACACAGATTTAATATTATCTCACATATGTCTCTTTGTTTTCTATAATGCATCACTCAATATTTTTTTTTTGCTTTCTCTGTTTTTACAGTCACGTTGAACAACAAAACTGACTTAATGCTTATGACCAAGCTCATTGTCCGTCCAAATACTCATAATACCAGTACCTTCGAACTTTTCGTCAATTTTACGCTGCATTTGCGTTACATTTTCGGCCGAAAAGTACGATTTCCAACCACCAACTTTACCTTTCCGAACAAGGCTGCACTTGGCCCGTTTTGCTTCTTCGCTTCCTGAGACTGGCGGAACATAACCGCGCCCAAGCAACTGTGTTATTCCTTTTGCGTCGGTTCGCAGTACATCTTTCATGAATTCGACGCTACTCCTTTCGAGAACGAGTTTCAGAAGATCGCTGTCACTCCGCACCCTATCGCCGTACTCCTCGCCCAAGAAGCGTGCCAACCTAAAAACAACTCCCGCCTTGTCCCTATGAATCTCCTCGTAAGTCACAAAAAACACATTAGAATCGTGTCTGTGCTCGTAACCCGAGAGGACGTGGTCAAAGTAGTCGCCGAAGCCGAATTTACCATCCAGGAACGTGCCCAGGAAATCCTCAAAAGTTCCGTCGGCGAAGTCGTACAACGGAAAGTCCCGCATCATGTGGAAGATGGACACGCAGCAGTCCCAAGGATTCCTGGCCACGTAGACGTATTTGGCCTTGTCGCTGAACCGCAGTCTGTTCATCGGAAGGTGCGTCCGTAGGAGCCTCGGAGCATCCGACGACGACTCCTGCAGTCCCTGAATCTCCAGGAATGGGGCCCTGTTCGTGAACTCGGCGAATGTCCTCATCGATTGACCCTTGTTCAGGAGGAGCTGGATCATTTGCTGAACCAAATGGGTCCCCGTTCTGGGAAAAGTCACCTAAAGGTTTCGTTTTGTTTTTATTTATTTAGTTGTTGCAGTTTCAACTCATTCCTGCTGTCATCATAATTAGCTGCGGTCTCACTGCTCGTACTTCTTACTCAAAGAGAGCCTGCAGACGCTGTCTGAAGCGTGTGGCTTGCTCACAGTTGTCATAAAAAAAACTCTCTTCAGACATTATCTAAGCACGCATGTGCATGAAACAAAAATGCTTAGAACGTGCTTGAGCCGTATCCGCGGATAACTCTTTCATAAATTGCTGCGGAGAACTGCGCGGGTCTTTCGTATGATGTTTGAGTAGAGTGACTGCGGGTTTTGCGAATCTATCGTCAATGGTTTACTTAAAACACACGCAAACACAATTGTAACTTCTCGTTATACTTCTAGTAGTTCGTTAGCTAGTCAGGGATGATACTTTGATAAATCGATACTCTGGGAAACGTGGATTGATCAAATGCACCATCATTATTACTATCCGTGGCCGTAGAAAGTTAAAAAACTGCAGTACAAGTTTACAGTAACGTTTGAAAGGGAACTTTGGTGAGTTGTTTTGAAGATGCTTATCTAAGTATTTATCTTCTAACTACTGCATTTTCAGATTCAGATAGGGGGCATTGAACTCCCTTGCCAATCATTTAAAGTGAAGTGTAGTAACCGACAGCCTAAGAAACGCAGGGCGTGGTTTCTTATGTTCTCGCTCTTGTGGTTTGATACCACAATCTCAACAATAACTAGATGCTAGGGAACCACCGTGTCGTGCATTTTTTAAACTGCCTGCGACTGTAGGTTACAGTAGTCTTTTATGTCGCAAATAGGCATGCAAAATTCTTGCCAGCTATCGTCATCATGGCATTAGAAGCCGCCATATTGTTTCTTTTTCTTCATATTTTCCAGTTCTGGACGAGACGCATTGGCAATTGACTCGCTTTGCACGATATTAGTACGATTTATTTGTTCACTTAATGAGTCGCTGTTTAGTTTCGGTTCAGAAAAGTAACTAAAGGCGGCCGCTAAATTCTGGAAAATAAATTTTCGGCAACGAGGTCTCAAGACACGTTACTGAAGCAGTGAACTTGGTCATCCGGGGCAGTAACGGTCTTTATCGAAGACGTTTGTGTGAAGGGTTCTTACTCTACTTGCAGCAGGGGATCGTATTTTGATTACACGACTCCCACTTTGCCGGGACCATTGTCTCTCAGGCAGAACAATTTGGTAATTGATCATGAGTACACTAGTTGGCGCCTTTTTTTTTTGCACATGGTCTATTGCCTTCAAGGTTGTTGAGAAGGCTGTATGACTACTAGGCATTTTGTGTAGCAGACGCAGATGTAAAAATTAAAATTATACTGAGCGTATTACAACGAACAACCCCATATTTTTCCAGAGTACAGGATTTTACTAGGTCGCATAAATTGGAATTTTATCCATAAGGGTAATTGATTTTTTTTGCTTCTTTTAGAAGCGACTGCTTCATTCGAAAGCAAATACACATAGATACTAATTGATGCCTGAGCGAATTATTACCCTCACCCATTTACTCTATAATTGCACCTGTTCAATAGTTCTTTCAAGTACAGCAACGTTCGCCAGTTCGTTGCAACGTAAATGAGAATATGTTGGGTCACCTCAATTATGTCCCCCTCTTGATGTTCGAGCTCCAATGATTCCATGTAAAATGTGGGGTTATAATAGGCCGAGCATGCCTCGCCGTTGATCAGCTGGGTGGCAGGAACCCGCTTGGTACTGTTCATGGCCAAATATGCCGTGGCCGGTGCTTGTCTAAAAAATAAACATTCGGATTTAGTTTTTTTTTTAAGTATTAAAGTATCATGACTGGATAGAAATAATTGAATAATCTAATATTCCTGGAAAGCTCAGAAAAGAAACGAACTTTTTGCGAAGACGCATTTCTGTATTTTGACCTCCTCTCGAGTCGCTGATGGCTTTTGCTCAGTCTTGATTGTTTTAAATTTGTTGGATTTGAAGTGTAAAAACTCCGCTACTAAAATGCAGATATTTTCAGTTAAAAAAAACATTAAAAAATATGTTTTTGTCTCCTCAGGAACAGTGCAGGCTATCGCGATCCCTGGCAATAAAAATGGAGGTGTCTTTTTTATGTGCTTCGTAAAAACAAAATAAGAACGCACGCATATACATACTTGCACATGCATGCATACATACATGCATACATACATGCATACGTATGTACATAGATAAAGACAGACATGCAGACAGAGATACATACGTGCATACATAGAGGCGTACAGACATACATACATACTCTAAACAACGCGAAGGATTTCTTGAAGACTGAGGGCGAGGACTAAGTACATCACACATTTATAGACATACGTGCGTACACAGACGCATACACGTGCACACATAAATGCAAACATACATACGCGATCAGCGTGTATAAGTATAGACATAGCTGAAAGTCCGCGTTTATTGGAGCTACACCCCGTTTCACATGAAGCCCGACCGCAGGCAACGTTCCGATCCGAGGGAGCCAATCGAGCAATGCCGAAAGTCCATCGTCACGGCACTCGTCGTCTTTTGGCTTTTCGTACGACGGGCTAAACCACCAATCTCCATTAGGGGGCTTCTCAAACTCTTTCGAGTGCTAGTGGGACCCGCGTCTAGGGCTCTGGATATTTGCTTGTCATCTCAAGAGGGCCTACATCTTACGCAGTAACAGCGCGTGCAGACCCGAGCAGTCTCCTGGGAAGCCATTCGGTGTGAGAATTTTGAGATCCTACTTGATCCAGTGTGCCTATGTCCCACGTTCAAATGACTTATTCTCGGGATTTTATTAAAAATGGGATTATGAAAACCCACTCAGACCAGAAAAAACACACACACACACAAAAAAAAAAAAAAAAACACGGAACAAAACATTGATTCTGGGACCAGCATGGAACTTCCAGTGGCTTCGCTCACGCCAAGCTCGAAGGGCAGCTATGCGCCATCCGACCCCTGTTCGCCCGTTTGCTGTGATCAAACCTAACGTGAAACAGAATAGGCGTTGCATTTGCAAAAGCTATAAACTTGATTCTACATAAAGATCACGCCCGCAGGTTATGGTTTCAGTTACCTTTATAAGATTCGGAGATCACCTTTGGAAAGAGGGACTGATACGACGGCCTCTTCGGGTTTTTTTAGCGCTCTCTTTGCTGCTGGTGATGAATGATGCCGTCGACTAGAGCGAGGTACGTATTCGCTTGGCGAGCTTGGATTCTTGCCATAATAAGCTCTAAAATAAAAATTTTAGACAACCCCTCTACACCACATCAATCTCTTTTATTGCCTCGTTCGCATTGTAAAAAAATGGTGACATATTTTACCTGCACACGGCCGATAATTCCAGATGCGCCTGACAATAATATCAGTATTAAAGCGCTCATAAAAAAAAAAAAGAAAAGCTATTTTGCGTAGAATACTGGAAACCTGATGTCAAATTCTCCGAACTATATAGCATGTGTCGTCACCTTATCGACCTTGAATGTTGGTTTTAGCATACCCTTAATTTGCCGTTTTATCAACTATTCCCACTTTAGGGGTAATGAATAGCATACCATAAAGAGTAATACCCACGAGTATTTTGAAGATGTGTTTAGATCGCGTAACTCAAAGAACCGCCGAAGTTCCCTTCGAAAGAAGAAAAATAAAAACAAGGTTCATGAGGAAAAAAAGTTGCTTTAACAAGGGCTGGCCCGAAACACAGCTCGCACTGACTGAACTGTCCACGAGGCTATGTTTCGAGGACCACACCCCTAATTTTCTTTCCTTCTGTTTGGGCAGCGGGACGCTTTCCGAGCTTTCGGGTCACGCCCACATTATACGGGTTACGCGCACGTCACTAAAAAGTGTAATCGACTACAAACACAGTCACTCTTGATTACAAAACATTCATTTAGGTTAGTGGATTACTTGAGAGGAAAAGTAATTGCCCGTTACTCAAAAAAGTAACCGTTGCTTTTCCGGTTACTTATTTTCAAATAGATATATTTTTGCCGGTTTCAAAACGTGTGTTCCTGACCCTTCATTGTTCAATTAAAGTAACAGAATCGCAAACTGCTCATCGTTTAAGTGCGCCAATTTTGATAGACTATCCTCTTGACGGAGACCAGTTTTGAGGATTCCTAAGTTGGAATCTTGTAGAAGCAAAGGGCGCCATTACGAAACGGAGGGAACAAAGAGAAACGGTAATGAGCATTTCTAGTAGATTCAAATGAATCAGATTACTCTCGTGATTACTTCCTAATAAAAGTAATCAAATTATTAGAAATCTCCAAAAAAGTAATCGATTACAAGCAACTTGATTACTTGTAATCTTTGCCGTACAAGTCTACACCCATGTTCCCTGGACTATTGGAAAGTGTAAGCTCTCATTTTGTTTTTTCAACGTAAGCAAAATCAAGACACGCCGATTTTCTGTCCGACACCAAAAATAGAGACCGAAAGATACCGAATATGTTGGAAAGAATTAGCCGCAAAAAGCATACCCGAATTCGAAGAGAAAGAAAAAAATGAGAGACGTTTACAAATCTCTGTAGTGCGAAACTATAGAGCGCAGCTTTTGAGGCGGAGTTGGGAAGGGTACAAGGGGTGGGTATGCCCCTCCTCCTCTTTTGTTCCCTCTCCTCCTCCTCATCTTCCCCTCCTCCTCCCCTCCTAGCTCCTTCTCCGTTAAATTCAGCGGGGAAATTTCCCGCTAGATTTAGCGGAAAAATTTCCCTGCAAAATTTAGGGGAAAAATTTCCCCGCCAAATTTAGCGGAAAATATTCCCGCTTACTTTCACGGGAAGATTTCCCGCTAACTTTAGCGGGGAAACGTCCCATAATGCAACGCGCGGTTACGCCGACGTCGCTCTACCCGAAAACGAACGCTTAAGCGCTCTGGAAAAAAAAAAAAAAAAAAAAAAAAAGAAATCGAAAATACGGAACATTATTTATACTGTACCCGAGCCGCCGTGCGTTTAGATGTAATAATAAACTGCTCGCACCGCTCGCGATAAACTGCTCGCACCGCTTGCCGCCAAAAGACTAGCGCTCCGCGGGGAAAAAAAAATAAAAAAAAATAAAGCAGCGGCTTTGTGCACCTTGTTTAGTTGCGACTGTACGTATTTTTCCGACGAGTGATTTCTAAAATGTGCGCATAAACATGTATTTTGTCTCCTTTTCATGGAACTGCGAGAGTCGACCGACAGCTGTTTCCTTCCGGAACATTATTTATACTGTACCCGAGCCGCCGTGCGTTTAGATGTAATAATAAACTGCTCGCACCGCTCGCGATAAACTGCTCGCACCGCTTGCCGCCAAAAGACTAGCGCTCCGCGGGGAAAAAAAAAATAAAAAAAAATAAAGCAGCGGCTTTGTGCACCTTGTTTAGTTGCGACTGTACGTATTTTTCCGACGAGTGATTTCTAAAATGTGCGCATAAACATGTATTTTGTCTCCTTTTCATGGAACTGCGAGAGTCGACCGACAGCTGTTTCCTTCCCCCAGGATCTTTTTTTTTTTTTTTTTTTTTCAAATGTGGTATAAGAACATTGAAGCCGGATGCACGTTTCACGCCTGTTGTACCGTGACAACGTCATTGGAACCTGAGGAAATTACTTTTTTCGAGTGAGCCACGGCACGTGTGCACGCCCTTTCCCCTGAACTTTTTCTCCTGCTGTCGCTCATTCCGGAGGGCCCCGTCCCGCACGACCAACCTTGCCAGCACATACCTTTGAGCGTATTTCGTCTTTTACGACGATAATTTTCTGAGCATGGACAGTATTAAGGATAGAAAGCAATGACAACCGATACAACGGCACGATGGCAATATGTTTAGACGGCTGGAGGAACATCGGTATGCCCTTCGTTTGTAGTTAGCAGACAACCACCCAGACGGCGCTCCTTACCCACCCGATACAAAGCGAAGAGCTGCTAGTTCAGCATCATTCATCATCATCATCATGGGGTCCATTTCCATACCACGCTCGCGATCTTTAATGTCGGTCAATTCTCTACCGTTGAGCCCCTGAGAGATTCGACAGAGTTCTATTTCCCGAAAAACAGTCTGGGGCAGACGTCGGGAGTGATGGTCGCCTGAAAAATATGTTTTCTGTTAGACAAAGATGTTGTTTTCGACAGAACCTCTATCTTACCATGGGCAACCGCGAAAGCTGCTAGAAAGCAGCTGTCAGAGGGTGCGCACGAGGTAGTGGCCTTCATGGGGTACGGAATAATGTTTTCTGTTAGACACAAATTGCTGTAAGCTTTGCGTGCATGAAGAGGTGAATAAACCATTATCGTGAGCTGTTGTCAGTGTGTAACTAAGCAAACAGAAGGCACAGTGCTGTTTTTTTCTCGCCATACCTGATCCAAGCCTTTGACTGTAACATTCAGTGTGGTTCATTATTCATAAAGGTACTCCATGGTCTGAAAAATAAAGGGCTGACCATAGTGGTGCCATATCTTGTTGTCACATGGGAATGGCAAGTAAACTAATGTTGCTTGAGAGGGTAACAGTTGTTCCATTAACGTCTTAGGATTGCCACCTGCCAAATTTCTGACCGGCTTCGCCTGTTTTTTTTTAATAGTTTGCCGGTTGCCAGCCCGTAGCTAAGGCCGGCGGTCATGTACCGCGTTTTTTTATGTATCCTAGTATGATTTGTTTATTAATTATAAGTGTCAAGGATTCTCCAAAAAGACAGCACATCTGGCACGAGAAGTCGTCGGTAGTGGAAGAAAAGATGCATTACAACGCAGTGAAAAAGGTACAGCAGAATTTGAAGGTAAAAAGTAAGAAAAAGGGCTTGGTTATACAAGGTGGCACTTCCAGGGCAGCCATTGTGGAAAGTGAAAATACAGTATCATTTTCAAATTCTCGTCATTTTTTTCTGAATATCTGTTTGTTC